TGTTGTTTTGTGTAAAAATAAAATCTGATTATATAACCATAGATTAGTTCTCACCTCACGTATCTATTGCGTAACTTTATGCTTTTGAATAGCTGGAACCATCTTTTTCGATCTCCAAACCAAAGAATCAAGTTAAAAATAAGAAAGTCATCGAATGTCCAAATGGAACCGTTCCTATATTGAAGAATACAAAAGAATATGTTGCACATGCTCAATATTGGGCAAAAAAACATTTCAATCCTCTTACAGTCGATAGCCATGGATCACATGTAAGAAAATGTACTTAATTACTTGAATTACAAATATGTATAATTTTAAAATGTGTATGATATAATAAACTTATTATAAATTTGGAAACTTGAAGATTGCTGGAGTTAGATCACAAGGTCAAGGTCCTTATCGTGGTGTGTCAGCTTCAACTAGTGTGCATGATTTAAATATAAGTAGTAACCAAGCTTCATATGCTCACATATATATTGGCAGTGGAACGAACGATAAAGTTAATTTTATCCAAACCGGTTGGATGGTAAATTTGATGTTGAAGTTTCTTTAATATGAACTGATTTTTTTTTAATATAAACTGTTTTTTTTTAAAGAATGCACTATTTTGTCTCACAGATAAATCCAAGTTTATACGGTGATGGACGCACATGGAGTTATGGATTTTGGAAGGTACATCGATCTATACATGCATTCTTTACTGCGTTCTTATGAAAATCCAAATTTCAAGCCATCGTTAATTTTGTTAGTTGCAATTTCCTATTTTTTGTTTTTGTAGCAAAAACTATAGTCTTGTTTTGTTTTCACATAATTAAAATCCTCTATATATATTAATTGAGGAGACACTCACAAGAAAATCCTAGGTGTCAAGCAAAGAGGAATTTAAGGAACACATCAATTAAAACAACCAATCAAAACATTCTAATTAAATCTAGAAAAATTTCAAAAAATGCCACTTTTCAAGTGCCACTTTACAAAAATGCCACACTTTTGAAATCTTTATTAAAATGCCACTTTTTCAAAATAATTTTTTCTTTATATCATTTATGTTTGGGTTAATTATGTTTTATTAGGGTTTAGTTATGAGGGTTTAGGGGNTTTTAGGGGTNAAAANATTTTTTAGNGTTTANAATTTTAAGATATAGGNTTTATAAATNTATAATTAGTGGCATTTTTGCAAATGGACACCCCTAAGTGGCATTCTTCCAAATGTGCACATAAAAAGTGGCATTTTTGTAATTGCCCCTTAAATCTATATGCCATATTGGAAATCTCTTCATATTTACATTAATTTTTTAACATAAATTCACAAATACATATGTTACAAATTTAAATTGAACTAAAATATAACGAAATCTCTACAAATTTACATAATATTTTTAACAATGAGTCATTTAACTATATCAATTACTTTATAAAATTGTATTAATATCCAT